AAGAGAGAGAGAGAGAGAGAGAGAGAGAGGGAGAGAGAGAAAAGCAACGATCTCAAACTTTTCCTCCAACAAATCTGGGAAAAATTTTGATTCGAAGGCTGAGAAAAGAGATAACATAGATAATTGACAGTAATATACATTGTTGTGGCATTACACCTGAACATATCTGTACATTTAAAATTTAAATGCTCCGCTTTAAACCGTTATTCCCCTAATAAGCAATTAAAAAAGGAGGCATTAGTTGGAGTGAAATAGAAAGGAAACGAATGAGTAACAGAATTGAAAAGTTTAATTTCAACAAAAAAAGTCAAAAATTCCCTAATAAAAGTTATTCTTCTCCCAAACAATAACATATAAAACATATGATTCACTTTATTCTAACGATCATAACTGATATAAGGGAATTAAGGTAAGTATTGATCAAAGATAAATAATATAGTTTCGATGAATTTATATTCGACGCATTATTGAAATTGTAAGTCTTAAATTAAATTAACGGCGAAAAATAGCTCACGCAAATGTAAGAAGTTAAACTGTTGGTCGCGTAATAGTAAGGTGATTAGAGATATAAGAATTTTCATTTCGTTTTAAATTAATTGAAAATATTTAAATTCAACATGAATTTAAACTGTATATCCTCTTTCAACCTTTTAACGATCAGTATTTTCAAACGATTGGAAAGTTGGGAATCATTGATTGCTGGGAATTTGCAATTAAATTTCTAATCCTAACGGGAAATGATGGGAAAATCGAAAACAATCAAAGTATTCTAATTACGGTGAAATATCATATCTAATATATTATTATTGCGTGAAAGAATCTCTGAAGGATGACAATAAAATATTTCATTTTATTTTTTGTTTAGAAGATGAGGAAAAAAAATGAGAAATAGTCTAGAATCTTCCGGAAAATTAGTTTCATTGAGCCTTAATTTCTCAATGAAATAAAATATAAAATAAACTGCATGACAAAAAATTTTTTAAGAGAATTTTCCACCTAAATATTATAAAATATTTAGTAGAAATAAAAGAAATAACAATTAACCTGAGATTACCGAGTGGTTTTTTCTTTAGTATTTGTAAATGCAATTTCATAACTTTCATGAGTTAATATCAATTGAAGACTAAAAGTAACATTAAAAGAAATAACTGATGTCATATCGTAAGTCAGTATTGACAATGATGATGAGGTAGATTAATGAGGTCAATAATTGTTGACAATTAAATTTTCCGCCCAATTCTCCAGTATAATAGATAAACGGAAATCAATTTAACAATGCTACAATTGCAAAAATTAACAAATGATGTATGAAATGAGGAAAAATGGGCTGTAAACGAAATCTGAAATCGTTTTTGCTATATCCCGCTGAGTTTGTTCTCAATCGAAATTCAGACCTCTGTTTCCGTTTGTTTGTCCACTTTTTTTTCATATGATATTGATTTCTGAGTAAAAAGGTGAGGAAAAGGAAGAGAATCAAAAGAAGCGATCAGTTCCGGCAAATTTCTGAATTTTCAACTTTTTGATGAATGGTCGTCGCAATGCAATCATAAAAATGAACAATTCACTTGCATAAATACTACGATACATATATATATATATATATATACCGGAAATTCTATTTGGTTTTTGTGCCTTTTAAATTTCAAAATAACAAATAGTACAATGCAAAGTGGAAGAGAAAATTTTTGCAACAAATTCAAAACCACTTGAAATAAAGAAAATTATAAGCCAACACTATGAATATTTGAAAGGAAAGATCATATTCATAGAATATGCGACATTTGAGTTTTTATAATAAATGATATATTTTATTAACATTGCCAGTGATTATGGTACAATACTGAATTATTACAACAACGATCCATTTCTTTTTTCAAGCCAAGTTTTAATGGCACAAAGTAATTCATAGATTTATTCAGTTAAGACCAGTGTTATGTTGAGAAACATGAAAGCAAAAATTTCGATAATTTTCACATCTTTTAATTTTTTAAAGAAAATGAAAAAACTACTTGTCTCATCTTTTCGTCTGTATAATACTTTGACCTCTTGTTATGCTCTTTAAAATGCATTTTTTATAGATAAAGTTGAAACGCTTTTGATTGTTCAGTTGTAAGAAGAAATAATTAGTTACAATTAGTTATCAGAAATAATTAGTTATCAGTTCATCTTCAAAATCTTACTTGAAAAACTTATTGAAAGAATTAGCTTGAAAGGAATATGAATTGATTTTTCGTTTTGTGAAAGTTCAATGGAACTGGAAACAATTTTAATTTTCTTTATTAATTCTCTCATCTTTCTCGTAATTATTTCAATGTAATTTTTCCCACAAGTGAATGCTTTAAATAAAATAAAATAATATTTATATGCATTATTTTATTAAAATCGTCCCAACTTTTGCATGAAAAGTTCTAAGAATTCCTAAAAAAACAATGAAGAAATCACAATTTCGATATATATCAAAAGATAGCAATATCGATTAATTTCAGAGATAAATTAAATGATTTAAAATATCATAAAATGACTGTTCCCACCACGAGGAAATATCGGTATGAATCGGATAATTATAGGCGCTCTTTTAGAATGCATCTCAGTTCAAACCAGGAATTACCAGCGGATTGCAATGATGGTATTCAATCTGCTCATATAATCTTTGATTGCAAAACTTATTGCAAATAATTGTTAGAATTATTTAATTATTAGATGAATTTTATCGACCGCATTTTGTCTCTTCCAATGGTATCTATAAAAGGCATTTCTATGAATTACATACGAACAGATAAAATGATTTGTATCATTCTTTGATAGCTTTTCATTTCATTTTTGTAAATTACAACACCTCTTAATTTGATTTCAAATTTGGAGACAATATTACCTTTCCATTAACATTAACTTCTTTACTTTGAGATGTTTAATATTTGGTCAGCACAGTTTGTTTACGAGAAATGCTAGAGTATCAAGGTATTTAGTGGAACATTGCAAAATGACATTCATATTAAGGTAGTATCAAGAAGGCAGATAATAATTGGCAAGATCAAAGATTACAAATTAGCGGTAGAAAAATTAGCGGAATAAATTGAACGGATCAACCTGCACTGGCATTATAATCTCTAGAAATCTTACTGATTCAAAAATCTCGACAGATTATCAAAGTTTCTAAAGAGTTGCTATTTCTGATTAGGATACCATTCAATATTCTAAGTAGTAGTTCGATTCAAAACATTGAGAAATAATAATAACCACAGTGACAGAGTTATCATCTTAATAATTGGGTCAACCCGATGAAATAGAAATATGATGGATTAAAATTAGCAGGAAAAATGATACTATATCTTATGATATCAAGGAAAATGAAAAGACAATTAACTGAGACAACTTGGTCAACAAGAATGACTATGGATAAGACTATTTATTAAACAAATTGATTTTATCAGAGTGTCATCAATTCAATTTACAATGTCATCAAAACTTAAAGAATTTCGTGACATAATTATAGCTTTGAAGAAACTGAACCTTTTACTTGAAGGAACTGAACCTTTTACCATTGACAGAATGGTAAAAGGTTCAGTTTCTTTCCAATCAATCGAATTAATATTATAATAGCATAGATGTAGATATGAATGAGTTCAAATATAACTCATCCATAATGTGAAATGAAATGACATTTTAGTTTGAAACGAAACTTGCGAAAACTTTGAAAAAATTCCCTGAGTTAACATGAATTGCATAATCAATTCTTCATATTTTAGAATTTTATTTATTCAAGATAATACTTTCACATTAACATTTTGCATTGCGAATTCCTTCATCTGATAATTTATCATTTTAGTATTACATTTCAGGTGGGTAATATAGTTAGTGTGATATCACGTACACAGAGACAGACAGGCAGACAGACATGCACAACCTAATTTGTAAAATTCTTTAACGAAATCCTTTATCTTACTGCATGAAAGTCAAAAATTTGAATCGAGCCAGACGGTGGTTATATACGTACCATTGCTCCGTAATTCACATATACTTACCTTGTGAATAAGGTTATTAAACTTATCATTTTTAACGGAATGTTGTAAAAAGACTTTTCAGGGAGTTCTATGATTTCTTTTCCCCTTTTTGCCAAAAGAATGAAGTTGAATCACAAGAGTGATTCTTTATTCATTTAAATAAAATCAATTTTTCAAATTTAAGTGCAATACAAAGATTATTTTTTCCCTATTAAAGCCATATATTTACTTCCCTGCAAAAGAGAATGACATTCTGTTTATTTGTAAGAAAGAAAAAAGCATCGTTTACGAAAAATAAACTTAAAGTTTATTTTTGCAATTGACTTTCGGACATTGTGACCTGTCAACAATTACAAACATAATTCTTTAAAACAATAAAAAATTCATGGAATGATATGTGTCAAAATAAGTTCCCATAAAATCTAAGCCAATGAGTTATGAGTTTTTCATTCAAGTCCTAATTAATATCAAAGATTCACACTTTTACGCGATACTGAAGATCCTAAAATCAACTGACAAACCATTCTTTAATACTATGTATTTCATTCAGTCAATTGTGGAATTTTGAAGTATTCCTTAAAATAATAATCCACAGTTTTCTTCATAGAAATGCATCTGAAGAATGATCTGCTTAAATAAAGTTTAAAATTTGACTGCAATTCATTTCGAAGAAAACCAAAAAAGTTGCTCTATGAAAACTTTTCCTATCTCGCTTCTTTTCATTCATTTTAAGAACATTAAATTTTCAAGAAAAAAATTTTATAACCATCAAAATATGGAATCATATTTGAAAAATTAAGTAATATCAATTTGAGCACTTCAGTGATTCACCAGTAGTTGCACAATATGTTTAATTATAACGTAAGAGTTGAGTACTGAAGGGATCGTATTTTTGGCAACGAATAAATGGAAGCTGTTGGTGGCAACAGATGGATACTGGATGGGAAGCATCCAAAGTAGGGATGCATCATTGCGCTGTTTGCTGATATACGATCCGTTGGATTCAACTTGAATTAAGCTAATTTTAAAGACATTTTCAATAATCAAAATTAAAAAAGTAATTGAGAACAAAGGACGAGAAAACTTGCAAATCTGAATTTCATATTTAAAGAAAAAAAAAGACCCATTAAATCCTAAAATGATAGCTTTGGTAGATAATACCTGTAAAAAATGTGATAGCAGTGACTGGCCACTTTTCAGTCTCACCAAAGATCTATGTATTTCACTCCAGGGTAATTCTCGATAAGGTGGATAAAAGCTCGGTGAATAATGCGGTAGCCTCAGCACTTCAGGCCATTTCTTCGGATCAGGAATACCTGAACAGAATTTTGTATCTTTCCTAGTAAGAGAGTCAAATAAATTCAAAATATTCTTCGTTAGGTTCTTACCCCTAATACTAAATATTCGATCCAACTGATCGGTGACATCTTTTGTACCTGGAAAAAGAGCCATACCAGTGCACATTTCAGCGAATATACATCCGACACCCCTAAAATATTTCCAACTTGTACCCAACAAATACCACCCGATAATTAACCGGAGCATAGTAAAAGGTAAGCTCTTGTAAGTTTTCACAAGCAACATTTTAAGAAATTTTAAAGGGTGAAAGATTAATAAAAGAAAAAAAAGCCAACCACAAATCGAGAGATGTTGAATAATCCGTTGAACCGAGCAAAACATCTGGAGGTCGATACCTAATAAAAATCTGTTTTAAAGTTTATTTTCTCATTTCACAATTACCAGTCGGATCATTCATTTATTGTCAGCATTTAATTTCAATCTTTTGATAAAGTACCCAATCCGGATGCTAAATAACGACGGCGATAAAGATTAAAGCTACAACATGGTTGGATATAACAGCGGAAATTTCACGTAAGCCAGAAAGACACAATTCATAAAAAATATATAGCTTGAATCAATGGGGCAGATGGATTTAATGTTCTAATTGATTGCATTTTGCTTAGAAAACTAACATGCACCCACTTTGAGTCAATGCAAGCATTAGCTTGGTTAACATTTATTATTAAATTTTGTTATTATTAAATTGATATTATTAAATTTGCTACTTTGTCAATTTAAAATTTGACAAAGTAGCAAATTTACCGGAATTTCATACAGTTTAGAATAAATACTAACCACAATGTCACTACTTCATGTGAATAAGTTCGACTTGGCACTGATTTTGCACGAGCTAAGCCAAAGTCAGCCAATTTCAACTCACCATTACCATTTAGTAACAGATTTTGCGGTTTTAAATCTCTAAATGGAGTAAAGATGGAGTAATTAATTCTAAGGTTAAAGAATCAAAAATTATTATCAAAATCCATCCTGAAATTTCAATTTCTCTAGAAAATTTGTACTTTCAGAAAAAGAAACATCAAATTGACCACGAAAAAAAGAAAAACTTGAACATTAATGGTTAAAATGCACTGATTGCATATTTGTACCGATGTAAAATTTTCTTAGAATGGCAAAATGCAAGACCACGAAGTAACTGAAATAAGAACAATCGGACTTGCATCTGTTCTAGTCCAGTACTATGCAGTTCCAAATATTTGCTCAAATCAGTTTTCTGTAAATATAAAACGATTGATTCTTTACCAAATAGGAGCATTCAATTGACCAAATACTAGAATTTAATTTTCCTAATTAATTAAGCACATATCTTACATGAAACAATGCGGATTAATTTATGAATTGTGGGTTTTAATGATTACTACTTAATTAAAAATGGGTACATTACGGAATAGTTGATATGATCCTCTTTACATAATATATTATAGCTCATTCATATATCATATATCTTCATTTATCACGTAGTTCATATATCTTTATTATAGTTCATTTCTAAATCAATAATTGAGGTATATTGGAAAGGTAGCATTTTATAAATGCAAATCAGCCTACCATATATTCGAAAACAAAAACCAATGAATTCTGTTCGTGTACGATATCGTGTAATGTTACAATATTGGAATGTCGTAAAGCGCGCAATAATGATGCTAAAAAGATGAATGTTATAGATGATAAAAAGTCATTAAGACTTTCTTGTTTAATTAATATAATTACATGTCTCCTTATGGTAATGCATTATCCCTTTTCTCCTCTCCGTCTTCTCATTTCATTTCTTTCAATTCCTAATAAAAAAAAAGATGTCGATTACTAAATTATTTCCCTCAAAAAAACTGGGAAAAATGAAAAAAAAATCTTTTCTTAGAAACTGAAAAGACCGGAAAATTTCGTTGTTTTCGTTTTCCGAACAACCGAAAATTTTCGTCATTTATCTGGAAAATGAAATAAAAAACAATCTAAAGCATATTACGGAGAAATGAAATGGCATTATCATCATCAACATCGCTGCTTTGAATCATATGTGAAAAAATGAAGATAAAATTTCCGAACAGATGTTAAAAAATACTTTATCTAACCTTCTCGTATAGCAGTGAATGGTAATCCTTCTTGATTATGAATTTTAATTTCCTTCAGAGCAACAATACTCCCATCGCTTCTGCAACTGTGCCTATTCAGGCTTGGAAACAATGTTAATGAATCTAATTCTTAATAAGTTTTTAAATTCGTACTTGAATAAATTAGTGTGAATTTTAAATTTCAACTTAACGTCATTTCAATATCTGAAATTTCAACTATTTATCACTTAGCATCAAAAATAGTCCATCATACATCAGATATCCTTACCTGCTTTCGCATTTGTAAACGACAGCATAGCTACCTTCGCCTAATTTCTCAATGCGTCTATACAGCTCGCTAATATCCTGTACAGGCATTTCCTGAAAATTCATCCTTCTAGAATATCTCAAAGAGAAGGAAATTTCACGGTAACGATTTTGCTACAGAGAATTAATGATGAAATGAAATTCAGTAGAATATATAACGTCTTCAAGTTGTTTTTTATTCTAGATGAAAAGTAAACAGTCGTATTTATAATCATCTAACAGATTGAAACAAATGGTTAAATATCATAAGTAACCTTCAGAAAGCTAACTTTACATTCATACATTACAAGTTTCCTTCAGAAGGTTGACTTAGCATATATACAAATCCCCTTCAGAAAACTGATCTTAGCCGTGTCAATGTGCGCTACAACGTATAAGTTAAAAACTTAGACGACTTGGAATTGAAAATTTATCTGAAGGAAAAGCTAGTATGGCGCAATTACCCTAGGCGGAAAAACTAAAGTATTCGGATCCAAGTGTGCCGACCGTGGCCTCCGACGACGAACAACTGATGAGCTACGCTTTTCCTCCATCGAGCTTAATGTAGACCTAAAATACTTCCGTAAAAAAGGATCATAAATCCAAGATTTTGGTGAAATGGTATGAATATTTATGAAATTATTACATCCTTTGTTGAGGATTTCTAAAATTTTCAAGACTTAAAAGAATGAAATAAATTATAAAAAAATCCCTGTTGAAAAAGAAGTGAAATTTCAAAGTTCAAAATCTGCTAATAAAAAAAAAAAGCATTTCTAGCAATACATACCGAGGATCGGAAGTAGATGATGAGCAGCAAGGATCTGGAAAAGCGGATACAATGCAATTATTGGTGCCCGAACGCGATCGAGTCGTCCGAAATAGGTTGAACAAACTTCTAAAAAAATAAATTCATTGCAATAAACATTGTCACTTGTCACTATCATAACTATAGCCTTGTCGAAGGGAGATACAGGTACTTAACATTATCATCATTAACGTTTTTCACTGACATCGTCAGTAATTGAACTGCCCATTGTAATTATCATTATCTTAACTGTTATCATCACTACTACCTTCGTACTATGACTTTTGACTGTTCCCACTGATGCCTGCATACGACCAGATCAAAAATTCGAAGCACTATTGCTGTCAGAGAAAGCAACGTATTTTCCAATTGAAGAAGCGAAGATAATGGAAGAAGGAAAAGAGGGAAAATAAAATTAAAAAGGTTAGAAACACTTGTTACTTGCAGAGTCTGCAAGGTACTTTAAGAAAAAATTTGAGGTATTATTGAACTAGCAATAAAATGGCACTAAATCGTCGAATTTAATATATAACTTTTTGCAGGCACTTGTCCTAACAGTTGTAAATTCCTTTAATCGATCGAAGAATCTTAAGATAATACAGTAGGTAGAACGAAAATACCTGTTAAAATGAACAAAGCGGCAATTAGCAAAGTAAGTCTTGAGAAAAATTCCCATTTCAACATTAGTATCAAATAAAATGTCGACCCATTTTAAGTATTTATTTTCAATTTCAACCAATCATATATTTTTTTAAATTTCCAATAATAGTGGAAATCATTGAGTGCGCTTCCTAATTATAAATGGTTACCTTGATGAACTCAAATTAGATGACTGCCATGATTGCGCCATATCATCATTTCTCAGAGTGGACGAAACCGTTAGCAATGGTGAATTGTTATCATTTTTGGATTGTACTTTATCGAGATATTTCTTGTAAACACCAAAAGTGTTAGCACAAAATTTTCCCCTATCAGTATCATTCTCGCTAATCCGATCATCTTTTTTATTATATTTTTCACGTTTTCTTGATTTTCTGGAAGAAATAGAAAAGCTGTTTGAAAGACATTTATATGATACAAAATGATCACTGTTTAACAACTTTCATCTTTTTAAATTTTCATTTTAGTAGCATTAATGGAAGAAGAAATTTTTGCAATTTAAATATAAATACAACCAAAATATTAGTAAATTTGTATAGCTGTAATGGATTTTTGATTGTAGTTCACTTTAAAATTTGCTTATGGAATAAAAAATAGAAAATAGGTAGTATGTAATATACATTTTTATCAGCGCGAAGTTCGCGTATACAAAAGAAGAGGATGAAAAATAACCTTAAATTGAAAAATATGGTAGATTTTCGAGACGTAGGTGGAGTGACATGTAACACGACACGGTGTAAATTATCGGAACTTTTAGAATTTCTCACAATCGACAAATGTCGCTGATTGAGGACCGATAATGAGCAACTCTCTCGAAGTTGTGTTTTTCTAGTATCAACATGATCACGATCCATGTGCGCCAACCATAATCCTAAAATTTGATCATTCCGAGCACTGATTTCTATCGCTATAATATCTTTATATGCTATTAAACAATTATACTTATTTGGTGCATAGTGTCATTAACTTAGTTCAACTAATTCGGGAATAATTCTACCCAACCTTTTCCTTCTTCCTCTTTAACAATCATTCAGGGAAACATACTTTCCCGGACTTTTACTACGAAGAAATAAAATATGTCTTAGATTCTAAAGTATTGCAATAATTTAAAGTTCTTGATACTCTCCGAAACATTGAAGGAAGGAAATGCCGGTCGAATTTTACCTTTATCGAGAAAAAAAAACATCTCTTCTCGACCATGAAATAAATTGATAATCAAAATAATAAAGAAAAATGAAATTTAAACACATTCTATTTTCATTCATTTTTCTCTACAAACTAAAATGGTATAGATGTGAAAAATGAATAGTCAGATACAGAAAGCCCCAGGGAAATACATTTATATACAAAGTGATCCACTGATGGAGACAATATCTGTCAATGAGATCTATTGTGTCACATCACTCTAATTAAAAGCTTAATAACTTAGTTCAGTCATTTAATTGTCCGACGGACACCCTTTTCATTTGCTTACTTCTCAGGCATTTTCATTCTTTTTTTTTTTCATTCATTGACAACTGAATATTTCTCGACATTTATATGAATGTTTCAGGAAATGAGTAAAAATAAATCAGTTTGGTAAAAAGAACAAAAAGTAAGAAGTATTCATAATTACTGTTTATCAGATTATTGAAATATGCAAAAATAAACAAACCTATATGAGAGGTCAATTTACTCCACATAATGCCTTTTGTTTATGAAAGAAAGTCGAGGAAGATGGAGCGATCTGTTTTAAAATGTGAATGATAAGCTGAATAAAAAGGCGTAACTGACTATCTGACTTCCCATTCAAAACCATTTTTGTTGACTAGAGAAGCATGAATTTGCATAAAATATACATTAACCTGAAAGAGCGCTATAAAATGAAGCACATGAATTGATGGACAGAACTGAATCAGCGCAAATATGCCGAAGCAGCAAACAAGTAAGGCTGATTAAGTACGGATTAAATAAAATAACTTGGACTTGGAGACTGACGTTATGGGGTCATGTACTGCAAGCAGATGTTTGACAATGAAGAGACAAATTATTGATGACTAATGAAGCAAAAAAGGGAAAGCCCTTAAGAAGTATGAACCATTTTTATGTTGTCATAAGTCAAAACAATTTTCAAATTATAGCTATAAATTATTTGCAAAATACTTTTAGCAATTTTCACCAGAATTTTGCTACTATTATTTAAACATAACATAATCTGGAGCTAAATTTGAGGAAGTTATACAACAACGATGTGTAGAACAAAGAATTACTTCTTCTTAAAATTGCTTTAGAATATCATTCGAATTATTACGTTAATTTTCACGTTCACGCTAATTCTCATAGTTTTTCACGTTGGAATATTGCACGTCAAGCGCAATGTGAACGATTTGTGAAAATAATGCAACCTTAAATTGAAACATTGAATTGACTTCAGTGTTTCACTTCTTTTTATGCTTCATATGCGTAATTTTATGCGAGAAAGTGTTTATTTTTTGTACGATTTCGAAATTTCCATTAAATTGGCTTATAAAAGTAAGCAGGAATATGGAGAAACGATCCATCCCTTCCTTACCAATATAACATCACATTTAAGATAAAATCACATTTCCCATCTCTAAACCCATAGTGGAAGTTAATTCTGGAAACTTTTTTTCTTTTTTTTTTGCATATTAAAGCAACTCATCAAGTCATTCCTCCTTTTCACCACTCATATACGGTAATGCTTTTAAAGCTTCACAAGCCTAGACATCCATGTAATCCTTTATCTTAATGCTTAATTATTGTCGAATGTTTTTAGCGTACAAATATTTAATAATAATCTCGGAGATATTCATATTGAAAATTGAAATACCAGATGAAAAGATATGAAACAAGTACGAGTGGAATAATGAAGTGATGAAGGTACATTTTATCCTCTTCTCTTGTCTCCATCAAAAACTTTTTGACAAGAACTCCGATCGATATCATAAATTTTCCTTTAAAATTTATTATTTTTTCAAGTTTCGGAAGATGAAAAGTTCAGGATATTGTACATGCAGGAAAAATGTGAATTGCTGAGAATCGACCTAGGCATCAATTTACTGCTTTGTTAGGCACCAAATTAATGGCCAATAATTTTGAGATGTGAAAACAAACCAAGAATATAATGTTGTGTAATTGATTAAGACTAGGCTTAACAACCGAACTAGTAGCCAAATTGGCTTCTCAGTTGAAATCATAGGCTTCTTCCGAGCAATCCATCCACGGATGGTATTTGCATCACAGTCTGTCAATCTAATCATCTGTGTTTCATTAAAACCATTAAATTCTCAACATCCGATGATCCTATGCGGAGACAGTCATCATTAAAAGCGGATGGGAACTATATTAAAATGATAAGAGAGCTCAAAAACATCAATATATTACTAAAAATGATAAGATATTATCAATCTTTTAATAGTTTCGTCTCACAAAATCAAAACAAAAATTACCGTTTATAAAACGATTTTAAATTATATGAAGGATAATTTCCGAATATACTGATAAGATTAAAATTGAAATTAGATAAAAAATAACGAATTACTAATAGAAATACTGGTAGCTTTTCTTAAGTCAACTGTGAAAGTGTCTGAAATTTCTGAAAATTAACTCTATCACCAACTTATCAGTATTAAATAAAGGGACGATATAGCAATAACACAAATAATTTCTTAAAAAAAACACAACGATAAGTGTAGGAAAAGCTGACATAGCAATTTCCAACAAACTGTCAATTAGTGCGACATTAGAGCTCACAAATGTCATTTGTTGAAAGCAACGGCATTTTAACATTTGCTCGAATTATAGTTCTAACAAAAAAGTATAATGCTTGATGAAAATCCTGAAACAACCAATATTCGGGTTACGATGACATTAATTCCCCAACTGTCAGGGGGTAATTATCAACCAGTGCAACGCATCGGATGGAAGAAAACAGAAACAGTACGGAGGAGAAGCATACGAATACAATCACGGGTTGACAATCGGTCTTTTACCCTCTCCATCTTCCGCCAATTTTCCTCTTTTCGATTTTCCTTTATATGTTCCTCCTTCCGCTCTTCACTGAATGGGCGTCATTGGAATAACAGTGCACAACAACGATCTATCTATTCATCCCTATTTGGCGATTGCTGCCGCCATAGCTGCAACCGCCATTACTGCTGCATTTGCATGGATATTTGCATTCACAGAGTGACATTACATGCGACAGTAATATCGGAAGAGAGTCCTTGAAAGGAACAGAGAAGCAACAAACTATGAGTGATCTCTGCCAGAAGACAGGTACAACATGTGTCCTAATGATCTTTCAACCTTTGTTGCTTAAAGAGGATTGAAATTGAAGGATGAAACAGACATAGCTGTTGTCTAACCAAAGCATATGGCTAACAGCTTAACAACCAATGCAAAATGCTTTGAGGGTTAACATCGATTGTTGGCCAATCTCTCTCTCTGGTTCTCCAATGAGGCTATCTGTCCAACGTCCATATGCTCCATCACCAGTTGTCGTGTTGCACAAAGTGACCGAGCGATTCTGACAATTCTTACTCTGCTGAACAACAAATAAAAATTTGCATACTTTTCTGTCTTCACACTAATTTAATTCGTTTCGTTTAGATTTTCGTTTCATTTGGATCTTTTCTATCAAATAAAACACTTTTTTTTTCTTTTTTTGCGAAACACTTCAACGAGCAGTTTTGTTTGATTTTAGTTAAAAGTTGACTAATTGCTCGAGTTCACTTTCTTGTTGTCCTTTCATTTATATAGCTTTCTTCTTTCTCTTCTCTTTTTCATTCATTGCCCAACATTCCAATACCATATTCACCAATAGAAATTTTCCCATTGTTCATCTTCAAGGCTGAATGCGCAATCTGATTCGGGGAATCTGCTCCCGTGTTCGGGTTCTGGTGAGCAGCAGCATTCTGTTAACTTTGTCACTACATTTGGGTTACCCATCAACCGTTCTCACTTATCAGTCTATTTTTTTCCTACTTCGTTTTTCTTTTTTTTTTTTTGTCCAAGATAAATGAATTCTGACAGCATTTTCCGAACATTTGTGTTCCTTCTTAATGCATCATAGTTCCGGAATAAAAAAAAAAAAGAAGGAAAAACTCCTACACTTACCTTCTCTGTCTGAATCATTGTCCTTGTCCCTATCTGCATCTCATAATGTCGAAAGTGACAAGACCGCCCGTTATCCTACCTTGGATAAAATCCACTTCATCCTTCACATCCAGATTCTTATCAAAATTGAATTGACCTTCACGTTTTTCCGACACATAATCGATCACATTTTACTCCGCTTCTTTCTGTCACAATTTTCTTTTTCTTTTTGTGAACATCGGGCGTTATCATCATATACAGAACTGGGTCATTATGCTATACAATTTGATAACTGATCTAGACAAATCCTCACAATGATAGCAGTATTACAAGACGAAATTTTTTCAGTTGTATTTAATGGGCTCTTCAAACTTTAGCTAAAACTTATGGATTTCAAAGAAAGAAAAATCATAAACCTTTGAGGAATATCTCGTAAGACTAGACTAGTTTCGGAGGATCAAAGAATATACTAATCATTGCAGCAAGTTGGTGACTTTTCAAAACTCAGAAAAATGTGGCAACCAATAAGAAAGAAACCAATTCAACATTTTAATTAGCAAAAGTGAGGAGGACTGTAATTACAGAGTATTTACTACCTCATTCGTACATTAAACTAAGCAATGCCGCCATTATATATAATTAATCAGTAAAGCTTGTTAAAAAAGGGGAAAAAAGAGGAAAAAGGGTTGATGGATATTGTGTGAGTTCAGGAAAAAAAAAATATAATTCAAATAATTACTTTCATGGTTTTACAGAATGATCAGAATACTCCTTTATCACACCTCTGAATACTTTCATAACTAAAGTAGAAGCAGAAGTCTTCTCGATCTTCTCTGTCAACAAAATGTTAGAAGCAATGGCGGACACGAATGGTACTTGTGATATTACATGCATTCATTTTAATCCTTTTCAAAATAATCCCTGATATGACTCTTTATACGATACAAGATGTTCATAAGATTCTTTGTCATAATGGCTCATTTTCTAAATTACTTAATTTGTCTAATTGCTTAGTTAAGCTGTTGTCTCCACTAATACAACTTACTGCTTGTTTCTAAACTTTCCTCTCATATTTAACACCCATTAAAAAAAATTGCAAATAACCTTAGTTTTTTAGCCTTTTTTCAATTGATACCATCCTTTTGGCATACTTTTTACTTTGCTAATAAGAAAGAGTTATAAAAAATTTTCTAAATGGAAAAGTATTCATGGAAGATGAAAGTTTGGAAATTCAAAGTTTCAACTTTTCCATCCTTAAAACGAATGAATTATTATAAAGCAGTTCTACACTACAGCTTCTTCCACTTCAATTTTCTAAAAGAGAAAAGTTCGGAAGAAAATTGAATTATTTGCCAGTTTGACCATTTGCATTCGTACTTTCGAAGTCATTGAAAAAAGGAGACATAAGTGGCTGAAGAAGAATGTCTTACTAAAAAGCTTTGTTAAAATGAAATTTATTACTACAAATGGGAAATCTTTGGAAAAAAAAACATCATTAATGGAAATATATATTCAGTTGTAAGGATGAAAGTCGAGCTATGTGGGATATTTGTCCTTTTGTTAAAGGATAAGATTTATGCCATAAAGTGTAGTCAGCCTAACCATATCATGTTATGACAAGAGGAACCTTAAGGCTAATCATTTACTAGCTAGTAAATAATTTCAAGGAATCTAAAGCCTGAGGACCGCCTAAGGAATTGAAATGAAAGCCAGTTCTGAGCCATTTTCCTTGATATACTAAACCAATCTTAGAAATTATGTACAACATAATGTTCTATCTAGAATCTATTTATCATACTACTGTTGAATTGCGTAAATATCAATGGTTCCAGCACAGTTATTTCCAAATTTTATGCATCCTTATTAATCTTCTGGGAGACAGCGGGAAATCAACTTTCACAAGAACTTCCTATCATTCACCATCACATCCTAAAATCATGAGAGATTAGGAAAAATGCTTACTTAAGTAATTAGCTTACCGCATTTCATCATCTTCTACAAACTTCAATGTTAAACTATTTACTTTACTGATAAACATTCATAAATAAAGGCTCTCATAACAGAACAAAGCTCTATTTCCAGGATTACTCGGGTCTTTCCTAAACACAACATACCCCCACCCCCCGCAGTATAATGTAATATCGGGTAATAATACTGAACACTGTCAGTGGAAGTTCTTCCAGTGACAACATTCTCTTTACAGGAAATAGACTTATTCGATACAGCAAATGCCAGTGATTTATGTTTTGCTTAACAGCTGCTTGTGCTTCCTTTCAAAGTAACATTAGAGCTAATTTGTTCACTTCTCTTGAATTATATTATTTCCTGTCAACTTTTCAATATGACACAACCAATAGTGTAGTAGTAGTAGCAACTGATGCAGTGGTAGTAATCGGTTGTGGTAAGAGAAGTAAATGCAAATTATTTCACTTTTTCCATCCATTATTTCCTATCATCTTCAGTCTCTGTTTAACGGCTGTTGGAGACTTTGTTACCAGAGAAAACTACGGCTGAACCTCTTGGCTATTTTTGACCCTTCACTCCAAACAAGCAATATGGAATCTTCTCTCTTCAGGCTTTCCTATTTCAACTCTTCTTGACCACTCCCCATTCTTTCAATTTCCCTCGCATCTATTGGTCATTTAGTATGTTTGCTCCTTTTATAACACTAATTTTGGTCAACTACTCTTTAAGCAATATTAAAATTTAAATTTGTCGAGTTTGGAAAGCCTTAAATTTCCACAAAATCATTACAAAGAAGCCAACGATATTACGCACACATACATGCAAACGGAAAAAAGAATTTAGCAGTAAAAGAAACAAGTTAGGATGTAAGGTATTTTGAAAATAAGAAACAACAGATGATTGAAATCAGTTCATATTCTTGCTAAGATTCTTATTCCAATTTAGAATTAATCAGATTCACCTCCCACATAATACATAGTCTTTGATATTAAATTATGATTGATTAATTGACCTTTCTAGCATTATCGTCAAGTTCCTAGTAATAAGCGTTGTAGCTCTGCGTAAAATGTCGAAAGTTCCTTCAGTTTGATAATGATTAAAGAATAAACTTCTTCCAAAGAGTTCACCGGGTCACTTCAGAACTTACCACTTTACTGACTTCTGGAATCGTTTTAAGTACGCTCTTAATAGTGATATACGATTGTAAGAGTATCCAATGATCTTCTTCGAATATAACTTTCGAGATCCTATCAATCAGACTATTCCATTTATTCCATGGAACAATTAGACTATTGCTAATTAAAATTTGCCAACAATTATCATTATTTAGCACTTTTTAAAAAACCTCCTGTAAATAGGACCATTTTTTCACATGAAATTAAAAATTAATTTGCATTAGATGAAGAAATAATAAAACAAAAAACGATAAGCAATAAAATGAAATGAAATGTATATGAATGAAATGATGGAAAGATGCCTTTAAAAGATTTCTTTTTTTTCTGTTCCAATCGAGAATTTGGTATTACTCATTGAACCGAACAACACCGCCATCCATTCGCTTCCTCTATCATTTCATCTATCTAATATGCATATTTTCAATATTTTAGAGTTCTAGAATGCATCACAAATACTTAAATATTTTATTTACTAATAGTGAAAATGGACAAAAAACTTAGTAAATGATAATTCTACCAAGCTAATTTGCTAATGCTTCCAGATATATTTTCATTTGCAAAACATTTAATACAACAGCTAAGAGGATATTTTATTACGAGAAAATCTGAATTACAAAACCTATATCTTACTTTATTAACTAATTAAGTGAGTGGCAATCCCTTTGCTATTTTGTTGAGATAATCACTGAGAGTTCATTTGCATCACCCTTACCTTATAAATGGATCAGACACATTAGGTTCTACCATCTGATGGAGATGTGAAGGATAATAACGGCATTAGATGAGGAAATTAACAGTCCTCTTAATACACTTGCATCAACTATCATAGGTCAGATTCCATCCTATCGTCAATCACTTATCTTTAAAATGAATGAAATGGGTTTAGTGGAAGGAACCAGAAGAAACATTCCAGCCATTATTTCGTTTGTTTCAATATGAAGCAGGAAATTACTCGATTGATAAATCATTTGCTGTTTGGTTCCGGTTTCCGTTTTTTCGTTGTGATCCATTGGAAGTGTAGTAACAAAGTATACCATTCGTCATACACATGAGACATACATCTTCTAGCAAGCTAACATACAGATGACATACACAAACATGCATGTTGCTGTTCAATTCAAATGATTGATGACCGTTGTAAATCGATCCAACGTTTGGTCCCAACATGTCTGTTTGTGCCAATCTCAGTTACTTTGAAATCATCATCATTAGCTCTATCTGGGAAATGCTTCAAAACATTCTATTGAAATCATAATTTTCTATCTTTTGAAAATTTCAAATTCAGTGAGATTCACTAAATAAGATGACAGATTGATCCACTAATTAACAGTGACTCTAATTACCACGTAAAATTTAAATAATCCTAAATCTTCTTCAAATATGCGAGAAATTTAAATGCGAATAAGCACACAAAAATTTTTGTAGAGTAAATAAACTCAATTACAGCCCACTATTCATGTATGCTTACGTTTACATACACCCACATACGTTTATGTGACACGTCCACACACGTTTGCATACACCCACTCAAATAGTCATGCAATATCACTAGATTCTTTATATAAACAGTAGCAACAATAAGAAAAATCTCAGGAAATAAATCGGTAGAACTTTCTTTTTCCCTCATACACAGAGATACATACACACAGAGACACAGACACACAGACAGACATACGGGCAGACATATATACACAGAGACATTCACAGACATAGACATACACAAACATACACGAACACCTACGCAGATTTCTATAGGGCAAGTTGTGGAAGTGTAATGTTTCAAAGTAGCGAAATGTAATATGGTAAATGTTTAACTTAGAATAAGTTAGCAATTAATTAAGACTTTCAGTTGAGGGAGTTAATTAAGACGAATACTGTATCGTCCAAGTTTTAAAGTTAGAATTAAAATCGTGTCAGTACACAGTATTGAAAATTTAAATTAAAGTTGAAATTCAGACTAGAAAAAGGCTGTCCACAAACTATTCCTGGATCACACTATGAAACTGTACTCTTTTTCAGTTTGAAAAAGTTCGAAAAAGCTGATCAGTAATAAATGGAAAGAGGGAGGAAAAGAGAGAGAGAAAGGGAGAGAAAGCAAGAAAAAAGAGAGAAGGAAGGAAAGGAGAAAGGAAGAGAATGATTTCTCAATATAAATGAAAGGGAAATGTAATTTTATTGTGACTTCATTTAGAAATTTATTTCTCAGACGTAAAGTTAAAGTTATTTCTCAGAGCTTTAAAATTGCCACCTGCTCACTGCAAAAAAAAAGAAAAAACGCTAAAACACTATTAAATTTTATTTAAATTTGAAATGGTTTAAATAAGAACTTAAATTTGAAATAATTTAAAAATAAAATTTGCCCGACTTGAAGGTAAAGGAAACAATCTAAGAAAAACTGAAACATTGAGTAAAAAATTAGTACCAAAATTAAGCAGAAAAAAAAACCTTTCCCATACTTTTTTCTTTTAGTTGAAATGAATTTTGAAATATTTATTGCTAACTTTTTTCTTTATATCATTTCTTAATCAGAACAATTATTGATTTCTGATTGTCAAAGCTTAATTTTGATGAGTATGAAATTTGTTACTGATATCATAACTGGTATTAGTCATACAGGTGAACTGTGTATAAATTATAATCAAATATACAAGATAGAAAAAAAGTGCGAGCAATGGGTGATTTAATTTGAAGAGTAAGTGAACTTAAAATGAACAAAAAATGAATTTGAATAATATAGTTTGAATTATGAAACAAGAGGAAGCAAAAGACGTGAAAATTAAGCAGATGAAAGTGCCACTGGCGAGAGATAAACAAATTTAAAGGTTTTTCATTTTTCAAATTATTTATTGGAAAACTAAGAGGTACTGAATGAAGAAAGAAAGTGAACAATAACAACCAATGAACATCTATCTATGAGAAATTAAATTTTCTGTTTCTTTTTTAATAAGGCATGCAAAGAAAGTGACCAAAGATAGAAGAGAGATTTAATGATTCCTGTCCGAAGAGATGATGCAACTATACGAGATTTTCTCTTCTGCTTCGAATAAATATCAGATATGATTTTAAAATTTCAGGAAAAATCCAAAATTACAATGAAAAGATGGAAATTTTCAGTTTATTGAAATGATTTAATGCTCGGTTTAAAGCCATTAGCTATTTAAATTCAACAATACCAACTTCTTCAAATATATTTTAATGCAAATTCACTTCTAAACAGATTGCACTAACCCAAAAGATTTGCAAGAATTGAATGAATCATTCTGGACAATATACCATTGCAGTAATTAATGAATAGATAGTCCTAATTTCATTTCATCTCTTTGAAATTACTCATATCATGAATGTTTTCAGGAAGGGACGAATTAAATTTGAGACTTGAAAATCAGTATTTTATTATAATGAATCAATAAAGCAAGCCGTTAACTTAGTGTTCTTTTCATTAATCCATCACTTAATGGAATTACCTTTAGAGGGTAAAACATAGATATGGAAGGCCAATCAATCAATTATTGGTCACGAATTGGTCGATATCAAATCGTTTCGACCGCTTAAGAAAAGCAGAGAAGAAGCAACTATTCCTTAAAATTACAGAAATCAAAAAATTTTTCATCATTTTTGAACTCCACTATTTGCCGAGCAATAACAGGAGGGAAAAAAAAACGAATAGCAAATGAAAAACTGATGGTTCTGACACAATCAGATGACACACATATCACAATTATTACGGCGGTATATCCCTAAAACTTCTTACTAGTTCAACACTGACTACGTACTGGTTCGATGCTGACCAATCTTGCTCAAAACGGTTTCAACAGTCTAATTAATGGATGTGTTCATTAGTGGATCTCTTAAAAATTTAAAACACAGCCATTGTAGAGCTCTGTTAATGTTAAGCGATATGTTATCCACTTGGCTTCATATAATTCATCAAATATCCATCCATTTAAGTAGACATTCCCTAAGACCTAGCAGGTAAGAAAAAAAAAGAAAAAAGGATATGATTGATAGAGCAAATACGTAAATGTTTACATCCTGAAACATCGAATTATCCGCTAGTTATAAATTTCTAATTCGATCTTTGCGACATTTACTACCTTTGAGGGTTGTTTGAGTAAACTGCAAGAGGCAAAATGCATGTTAGCTTGCAAATATATCACAGACATTATGCGATGTTTCTGAATTAATAGTTTCTTAAGAATGTTCTGTTGTTATACAAACAAAAAGAAAAAGAAAAACACGAAAAACTATACGATTCTGTACGACTAGAAAGAAGAAAAGTCTTTCTAAACATAATTCTGCTTTTTATCTCTAACATCTGATATATCGTTTGGAAAATTTTGCGAAAAAGAAAAAAAAACTTGCAATTTAAAAAATTTTTTTAGAACTCCCTTATTGCATATATTTACAAATTCATAAATTACTCTAAAGACCAAAAGAATGATTCAGTAGTCATTACCGCCCGCAATACATCTCTCAACAATACTATCAGAATAGCGACTTTAATCGAAAAGCGCTCCGAACAATTATAATACAAACTTTTGAGCTTGAGCTTAAATATAAAATGACAGACTTATTGCATTCATCTTCTTCCATACTGTGTAATATTGCAGTTAAGGAACACCTGACGCTAAATGAACAGAAGCGCAAAAGTTTGAATGATACAACAAACTTTTGACTTATATAGAAACAAAATCAAATATGCAAAGAAACAACATCGTAATTCTCTCAACTACATCCTTCACAATCTATCCATTATCACATACATGTACAAACACATCCATATATGATATATAACAGATTACTAAGACAACTATTTATCAGAAATATATGACAATATGGATCTGAGAGGTCACGGAATTTTGAACTTTGAACGAAATACATTTCCTTTATATCTCTTAGCTAACAAATCACCGATGTAGCCATTTTCAACTAACTTTGTGTTTTTATTACAATCAATTTCGTTTGTGTATTTTTGACAAAAAAAGTGCTGATAAAATTTCAACAAAATCTATCAGTCGAATCAGTGGAATTCGTTAATTCTAATTTGTAGTTTAATTAAGATGACCTCTCTAAAACTAATCATTTCAAAGAAGAAATAAGGTGATGTGTAAATTTTCTCAAAAAATTTTCAAAATATCTGGAGGATTTTTGATCTCTGATAAGGGACAACACATTTAGGATTTACTGAATTGAACTTGTTTGAGTGTCTTTTAATTCCTTTGTTAACTGATGCTTTAATGGTAATTTGTAATTCCTTTTTTGTTTCTTTTTGAGTCTTAACTTATTTAAATGTGTGTTTGAAATAAAGATCTTTCTAAGACTTAACTTAGAAGTTTAATTTTTTTTTTTACATAAACACTATATTTGACAGTAAATAATGATATAATTAAATCAAAAAATTTAATTAAAATTTAGAAACCGTTTATAGGTAGAGTATATGACTCCGACATTTTTTTAACTGTGAAATTTTAAGGAATGAATGAGCTTTACCTTCCTCTGCTGTCTATATGCAAGCACTCTGTTTGGTGCGTTACTAGGATACCAACTTATATCACCACGAGAGCTCTACATTCCTCATCCGGAAAAGACGATTTTCCGAATTTGAATGGAGGAAGTTCAGGAAAATCCCCCTATTTGATGATTCATTCAACCAATATCTCAATTGATAGGATCGAATGATAACCCAACGGATGTTTTATCACTGCCTCAGTGAGTACTTAAATCAAACACAATGCAATCATCTCCTGCTTAAACATGCAAACAAACATATTAACGAGACAGACAGACTAATTATTACATAGACAGACAGACATACACACCCATTCTGAATAATGCAATTTGCTTGGCTGCAGAATGATTCCCATTCCCTCTCATCGGACCGTTCCCATTAATCGATCACGTCTTGCACCGTACTTTGATCTTTGATCAGAAGTTTCGAAATTCTAGTTAGTTTGGTCCGATTCAAGGATATATGCAAAGGAACTGTTAACATTGATCACCCTAAATTTCAGTTTGATTTAAGAAGTTTACTGAATCATTCAGTCACGGAAATAGTTAAAATTTATCCATCATCTGAGAGGTCAGTGGAATCCCCTGGAACTATCAATTTCTTCTTAATTAAAATTTCCGTGACTAACAATCCCTTTGCTTTATCACACGAATATAAAAGAGAATTTTCAGAGGATGGACAATGAATGCTTGGAAAGCAGGTAGCTGCGCGTTACTTCTTTACTTGACGCTTCTGTCATGTGGTACAGAAATATCCGGGCACTTAATAAATGCACCACCGAACAGCGTTCGTTGCTTCCATCTCCTTTATTTATTTGGCATGAATTTAGTCCAAATTTAAGTTGACATCAAAATATGAAAGTAATTCGAAATTTGAAATTCTGCGATAAATATGGTAGTTTTTGATTTTAGGGGTTACAGAGGGGGATTCATATTGCTCGAATGATTTTAGGCTAAAAATGCTGTGAAGGATTATCCGGAGGATGCACCGAAATTTATTTCCACACCTCAACAAGGTGAGTACCGCTCCTATGTTGTCGCCATTTATTCGATTTTGTCATTTTATGTTCTACAGGAGTTGCATTCATGAAGAACAGCGGTAACAGTGTTATACGCCAAATATTAGTGAATTGCTTACGGAAATTGCTTGGACGTAAATCTTGGCGTTGTTATACTGTGTAGTGCAAATGTCACAGAACCTAAAGTTCATATCACTCATCCTTATTACTATATCATCTGTAATTATGATGTAATTTTAGCTGGTTAGAGATAGGATTTTATGCCTAATATTATAGAGATGGGACAACCTAGAAAGCATTTCAAAGAAAGCAGGGTAGATGATCGCGACATTCACGCTGAAGGAGGTAGCTCGGAAGAGGACGAGGAAGTGGGAAAGGAGGAAGAACAGGATGATCTAAGTGACAGTGACCTAAGCGAAGAGATGTATGTCACGCTTCATATTTACCTCATTCTTTATCTCTTAATTAATCTTGTAGAAAGGTCGAGAGGATCGTTTGTAACAATGGGGTGGAGATCATGTATTCATCCATTTAGATGTTTTGCTTTTAAGCTATTTCTCGTTCATAACCTCCAAAAAGCCATTTGTTTTCTGTTTATTGCCATATAGCTTCGTTTCTATTAACTCAAATGAAGATAAATCTCAGGGAATATCTCCCGATTCCCAGATTCCGGAATAACATTATTTTGTCTTAGTTATTCATTTCACCTGGAAGAAAGCATGTACATATAAAAGAAAGTTCTAGGGATGATAAAACCAACCGAAATTTATCTCCGGTACAACTTCACGATTCGGTAGATTCAAAGGAGCCGAAAAATGATGCCGTTTCTGTTATCCATAATTCGTTCATTAGTAGGAAAACATTCAGTTGTCCAAAAATCAAAAATGATTTCGTGACCGGTACCGATACGGGTGATTTGAGTCCGGAAGATATTGGAATCATTGCCGCAATGGGTGATTCCCTTGCTGTATGCTCCTTGTTTCTTCTTTTATAATTAACAAAGGGATTAATCAATAATTTCTAGATTTCCCCTAAAACCGATATGCGGAGGAGGAAGTTTGTGAACTTGTCCCATAAGAAATCACTTATATAGCGTTAAACAGATTTCTGCTCGTCAGATATTTCGGGAATTCAACGTCAACTCAGTATCTTGAGATTTCTAAAACTGAATCGTTCATTCTGTAATCTCGAGATCAGTTTGAAGTTGGTGCTTGGAAAAAATTTGACTGGCTTTCCTCTTCTGAAGGTTTCATAAATTTTGGTGCAAGTAACATAAAGTAGATCCAGCCAACTGCAAAAAAGAACCAGCTGACCGTCATGGATGATTGGTTAACAGGAAAATGTGGGGGTTTTTTTTTAGACCGGAACAGGACTATGGCCTCAAACGGACATCGAATTTCGTGGGGCTGCATTCCCAATTGGTGGTGATGCAACCATTGATGGGCTTGTTACCATTGCCAGTATGTCTTTTCGGTACCTGTATTTCAATTACGCACTCATTTACATAATTGTTCAGTTTTTATTACATATCACTAACCAAAGAACTTAGCTTCATTTCTTCATAATTTTTCTCGCAATCAATTTCGAATATTCCAGATATATTGCACGAATTTAACGATAAGTTGATTGGTGTATCGCACGGTATGGGTACAAAATTTCAGTTGCCTTATCATCAGCTAAATGTTGCGGAAAGCGGTGCTACTTCGTCCAGTGTACCTTTACAGGTTGCTCATTGATTTGTATTTCGTTGTATTTCGTTGTCAAGCTCTCTTCAAGTTATATCTCAATAAGACCATATAAATATGATTATCGATGTTATCCATCATGTTTGTTGTTTCGTTATGGTTATTCTTTGAAATAAGAATTTTGACTTTAGGCGAAAGAGTTGGTCAAAAGGCTCAATGCATTACGCGAAGTAGATATCAACAGTGGATGGACAATGGTCATTATCACTATTGGTACTGAAGAGGTAGAAATGTCACTTGACCGTCTTTAAAGGCTGACTAATTAACAGGCAATATCTACCCTGTTTTTTTCCTATCATATGTACTTGGAATTTAAACCACTGCTTATCCTAAATCAAGGCATTCAAAATGCGCTTGTGATACTTCTTGGATCTATCCACATCTCATCTTTCTACCACCGAGAAGCTAATTTACTCAAGCAAATATGAGGAGGAACTTTCAATCTTACACAAAAAACTCGATTTCTTGCGGGAATTAGTCAACATTTTGAATAAAACTCTTCATTTACTTTTATCTGTTAATCTTTTTTCTGCAGATCTGTAAAGTTTGTCGGGCTCCTGACTACGATGCTCTCTTAGAATCCCTGCTCATCCTGAATCAAGGTATTCAAAATGCGCTTGTGATACTTGTTGGACCAATCCATGTTTCATCCTCTTATCATCGAGAAGCTAACTTACTCAAGTGATTTGTTCAAGTTTATCATTTGTTTAACGCCAGATGCTTTATATTTATGCACTTAAAGTTAATGTTCACAATTTCAGGTCTCGTTGTGCTTGTTCCATGGATAAATCCGACAAGTTCATGAAAGAATTAAGTAAGGAATGGACTAAGGCATTTGTTCGATTACAGGCCCATTTTGAACAGCCATATATCAAGGTGACGATAATTATTATATGATAAAAGATAAAATGAAGGAGCAAGTTGTCTTTGAAAGCTTTGAAAGCCCTTGGTTAGGGTCGGTATAATTTTTGGCATTCGAACATGTATGTCAAATGTAAGTATGAGGAGGAATCATTGGCCAAAAACTCTTTCCAGACATTCTTAGCTGGGGTTTCATAAAGACTGTTTCAAGTGAAATGGATTAAAATTCAATGTTTAAATTTAGATTTTTAGCGACAAAAATTTGGTCTTCTGGCACTACCGATGCTAACTATTACATCACGTTATCCATCTTCTTTGTTTATTCCAAATCGTCCACTTCTAAACCGAAAAGGACATACTTACGCTGCAAAATGGTTGTGGAATCGGCTTATTACTGGACCTACCTACAACCTTTCATCAACGGTCCTTTCTCAGGATTCATATTACTGTCCATCGATGGTAATTTCCATTTTTTGGATTTCTCAAAAGAAAAAAAAATTATTCTGTTAAGATTTGGAACTGGGATAACATAAATGGAGATGAGCGAACTGAAAAAATAAATGATAAAAACAGAAGGAGAGGAGTATTATTGTAGATTATCAATGCAACAAAGAAGCATTCATCGGTGCATATTCGTGCAACCAATGCTGTTAGTCATGGTTTTTATATAAGTTTTAATGAGACTTGCGGAATTTCCATGATATCGAAACTTCCAGGGATGTCCATATTTCCGAACACCAGCAAATCGACAGTACTGCCGGTTGCTTCGTCATGTCGATATGGAAAAGCAAAACGAAGGAATTGCTGGTAGACCGATGAGGAGATCAAGACAGAAGCTGTATGCAACAGCTGGTACCGTTGTGCTTATTTGTTTTCTCACTGTGTTGCTCATTGGTACTATACTTTATCAAAAGAGTAAATATGTAAGTTAATTTTTTGTTCGCTTATCAAAATCTCTCTAGAATATTAATTTTTAAATTTTAGTATATTTATTAACATTTAATAAATAAACTGGAAAAATAAGGAACCATTTCCGATTGTGGAAAGTAAAAGGAAGATATGCAGGGTAGTATTATGAAATGTAAAAATAGAGGGGTGTTTGAGGAAAGAAATCGAAAAATTTTTGAGAGCCAAAAGGTTTTAGGGAAAGAAGACGGAAGAAAGATAACAGTATTATGCGAAAGTTAATGTAATGTTATTATCTCTGACTTGAATAACGCACAAACTACTTAGTGGAATCCTTTCATACCACTTCAGCCTAAACTCTTCAAACTTGTCTATCTTACAAGTTTGAACAGTTCGGACCGGGAATATTTTAGTTTGCTAAATTTTATAGCAAAAGTATAAAATATAACAGGATAAAGTGTTTCCCAGTTCAAACTGTTTTCAATTTCTTCGATAGATTTGTTGAAGCCTTCAATTTTTCTCAGGAAAAACGCATTAGGTACGGGAAAAGTTTATATATGGACAAGGAAGGAACATTGGATTTATTAACCGTCAAGAACTGAATGGAGAATTCAACTGAAGAGATGAGGAATAAAGCTTTTTGCGATAAGCAAAAAAAGCAACTTTGACAGCCTTATTGTTGTTTTAAACAAGAGCTGTATCGAAATTTAATTTTGTTTGTGATAATTATGAGCAACCACAAAAAATAATAAAAGAATGATTTTAATTAACTTCCTCGCATTGTGAACATCGTTCTTTTAGTTAAAGGAAGATCCTGCAGTAAACACTAATTACCACTGTAATTGAATCCTCTAAAGTTCTGGCGCAATTCATCTAGCCATTATCATCTAGTGGGAGGGAGGGTTTTAGGTTTTCTCTTGTTGAGTTTCCAAGAAGCTAGTAATACTAACACTGCATATTGTATAGAAATTACGATTAAAAAGTGCTAAAGCGTGCTTTGAATAGATAGGGAAAACCGGTAAAGGGAGCGAAAAACAATTTGTTGGAATTGAACGTCGCAAATTATCATAACTTCTCTTTTGAAAGATTCATCAAACTTCGAGTTGAAAAGGATATTCAAATTTATAACAAAGCTAGCTGAGAAATATATTTGTGTAAAACAGGCGAAAAAAAAAGCATGTAGTTGGAAACGCATATTTGTTCGGAAAGTTGTGACAATTAATTAGTTACCAGCTTTAAGCTTTATCAATATATCTCAATTTGGATTCGAGGAAAAGATCGATATTTCTATTGCAAAATGAGAATGGAAACGTCCACTTATTTGGTGACATATTCTGCTTTTAGAAAGACATGTTGTACCTACTTACTATGAAGACAGCAAAAGCTAAATTTTGTCAATAGAAAAATCATCGATCTGGCTCATGTTTGTAATAGAAATCAATGGGAGCAAAGTAAAAGAATAAGAGGTGGAATAAATATGAATACAATTGTAAAGAAAGCATTCTAGGTCGTTGAATGAATTGTTTCTTGTATTTTCTTATTCAAACACTCCTTTGATGTTACATATTTAGTATCGTCAACAAGAGGATAACTGTTACAACCAATTCGATGTTTTGACGTAACTTCAACAATGTACATTACAAATCACGATTTCTTAGTGATTAGTGAGCTACTGAATGCATTCAGGACGCAACAAGGAATATACAAATCTTTCTAGTTCAGTTAGCTTAATCGTCTCACAGAGAAATCTTATGTTTGTAGGGATACCATGTCGGAAATATTTTGGGCTCAAATTCTAATCTGTGGTATTTCAAACTTCTCTGGTTTTCGTTCATACATTGCATAAACAGTGAGAATTTTTTAACATGTTCCCTGTGTTTTTCCAATTTTATTTGAAACCTTCAATATAACTCTATCAAACAGAACTAAAGATATTTGAAATACCAAAGTATGGCCATTTTTGATGCGTACACATAAATCGAGCTCAATTTCTAGATTTTCAGTATATAAATTTTTTTTTTCAGCATATAAATATATAGTATATAAAGCATATAAATATATATATATATATATATATATATATATATATATATATATATATATATATAT